CGAAATATGTATATATATATATATATATTATAAATAATCTTTACATAAATTCAAAGTGATCACTAGCTGTCAAAATAAAGACAAACAAACAAATACATACATACAAAAGACTGTGATCTTTTTTTCTATACAACAATACTGCAGAAGAATTTTACATAAAATATACACATGAAAAAAAAAACTAAAAAAAATCTTCACAGCCAAAAATGAGCTAATAAACAAACAAACACTACAACTGACTATTGTTCTACAGAAAAAAATATTCTTTTTTATTCCACAGAAGATCCATGATCAGAATAATTTACCATATTTTTTTTCCCCGTAAAATAAACGTGAAAAAGACGTACGAACTGCACAGACAATTTCATCAGATCATGGATATTCCATTAGAAAAAAAAAAATCTTCACATAAGTTCACAGTGATCATTACAAATCAATAAATGACAGTTCACTATTGTTCCATAAACACAAAAGAAATCTAAGATTATTTAAGTTTTTTTATTCCACAGAAAATCAACGATCAGAATAATTTTACCAGATACTTAAAATATACTTGCGAAAAGGTGTTTTGTTGACAAGATTTTTTATTAAATTAATTTTATTTCATTTTTATTTTGTAATTATTATTAGTATTATAATTTTTTTTATAATTCCATGCACACAAATGATGTGTTTGAAATGATTTTTACCCCGTAGTACTTCGGCGGCGCATTGTAGCGGAAGTGGCTCCTGCCGAGTTCCCGCGCCAGAGTCTCTAAGCGCTCGAGCTGATCGAGTCTGGCCACGCTCTTCTCGATGAACGACATCACGCTGTTCAAACACCACAAAAGAGCTCAATTCAGTCCTAAACACAGACTTCATCAGATGCGTTACAGAACATGCTTTGATCGTGTCAGCAAACAGCAGGGTCACTCATGTTTCCCGGCATCGGTAAAGTTTAGAGTGACTGACATCAAACACTCGAACTCGAGCGCTGCGGGCACGTCTGTGTGCTTTCATGCTGTGAAGAGCGAGCAGCACGACCTCATTACAAACACACACTGTCATCATCTTCATCCTCAACAGTCACTTGGCCTTTAAAGCCGCGGGAGTCTGACAGCAGCGGTGTTTCCAGTAATTGGTGTTCCGGGGATTTTCACACTGAAGCGACGAGTGGATCAGATAATAATAGTAAACATCATTGTACAGACTGAAGTGTCTCTTAACGTTTCCAACACTGGAAACATGTTTTATTACAGACTCACTCTCAGTTCGGCACATAAACTCACACATCCCAGATAGCACACGTACGTCTGCAAGACGTCTGTTAAAGATCGCTTCATCTGGAAAGCATCTGCTGTGCACAAACATCTGATAGACGTCTCTAAGATGTCACACATTGGTTTTTGACCATTGAAAATGGGTAGGATACAACAATTTGGAGCTGCAGCGCAATCTCGATATCGCTCAGAAAAAAAGGTACAAAAGCTGTCACCTTTTGAAAAGGTACCGCCCCAGTGACAGCTTTTGTACCTAACTGAGTGTACACGGCCTTAAAAATGAAGATTCCAAAAGAAAAGTTTCTTGGGAACCAGAATTTTAAATCATATTAAGACGACTTTAATACTTCTTGAGTTACAAGCATGCACATTTTGGAAAAATAATATTTATGACACTCAAACAGGTATGCCCTACAGCTGTTTTGATAGAGAGAAAAAAACATGCATTTCTACTTTCAACATTATTTATTCTTCAGACGTTCCCCTTTAAAAACAAGACGTATTAGCTGTATACAACGTGACCCACATTTGGTTTTCAACCACTGAACATGGGTAATATTCAACAATCTGAATATGGAGCATCATTGAGGTCCCAATATCTCTGGGACTGAACGATGTAGGGCCTTGAAAATGAAGATTCCAAAAGAAAAGTTTATTAAGAACTAGAATCTAAAATCATATTGCGATATCTTTAATACTTCTTGAGTTTTAGGCACGCAAACTTAGGAAAAATAATATTTATGGCACTCAGACGGTTATGTTGAATGCAGTTGTTTTGACAGAAGGAAGCTTCTGAGATATTTCTCTAGTTTCAGCATTATTTGTTCTTCAGACATTCCTTATTAAAAGAAAAGAAGTATCATATTTATGCAAAGTGACCCACATTTGGTTTGTGTCACTGAAAATGTGTACAATTTAACGATTTACTCCTGGAGCCATATTGGAATTCCAATATCTCTGGAACCGAACCATACAGGGCCTTAAAAATTAAGACGCCAAAAGGAAAGTTTGTTAAGACCCACTTTCTAAAAGGATATTAAGATATCTTTAATACTTCTTGAGTTACAGCCATGCAAACTTTGGAGAAAAAACTTGAAACGTGTCGTTTCCCCATTTTTGAATAGTCACCATTGGCACATAATGCAACACAGATTGCTAAAGTCAACAGATTTTACTAACAGACCTTCCAATCTCTGTGTAAAAGTAATATTTTGAGGCTGCCATCTTTCTGAAGTCATTTTTACCCCCCTGCAATTTGGCTCTGAATCTCAGGTGAAAATTGGCATTTTGACCCTCCTCAACAAAATAATGGATTACTCGGTAAACATACATCCATCACATTTAATATTTTGGCTGTCATCACTATACACGTTTATCTTTCTTCAGAAAAAATATTAGCAAAATCAAAAATTTGAGCCGGGGAGGTTTCTGAAATTTGGTAGATTTGACACGGAATGACTCTGCTACTGTAAAACAAGACTAGTTTCAGATGAATGCATCAAATTATTGCAGATGTTTTATCAAAGTTCATGAAAAGCCTTCATAAATACATTCTTACATTGAAATTAAGGTGTCAGTTTACATAAGAATAGATTAATTTACACAGAAATTCATTCTTATTTTACTACTGGCAGTCTAAGTTAATGTGTCCTATACAGTCATGTATTTTTGTATGTTATAATCCTCGCATTATTAAAGTGCATGCTTTCATTTCATTGTACATCTAAGTGCATCCCTTACAAAAAAGCACTATGGTGGTACCGCGGTAAAACCACGTCCTTGCCAGTATTCAGTCACGTCACATGGAGTGTGTCAATCGGCGCTAATGGAAAGTGTCACGTCTCTCACTAATAAAGCATAACGTCGTCTCTGGCTTGTTTTTCTCTCATCCTGCTGTGCAAATGAAACTAAAGCTCTTGATGATCATGATCCGGTCCATAATGGCTCGTTATTTCTGCTCCCTAATCAACACCCTTCTAATGCCTTTATACATATGTTCATAAAAGCCTGGATTGATTTCATGAAGCACAACCACAAACCCAAGCACTTACTACAACAACTCCTATTTATTTAATAAAAAATATTTTTAGTTTGTTCTGCATTTTACTTTTGCTCTAGCTTGTAGTTTGTAGCATCGTTTACTATGAATATGAATATCATTGGCTCTGAGACTATTTTTTTGTGATTTTCCTCAAATGTAGGTGCTTTAGATGAAAGTCTCTACTAAATGCATAAATGTCAAAGTAAATAAGGACTCGTGGTATTTTGTGCATAACAACAGAAATCATCACCATCCATAGAAAAGAGATATAATAATATATTTTTCATAATAATAAAACAGGACTGCTGAGTGGTTTGTGTCCTTAATGTTAAAACATTATTTTCTCCTTATTTTCTTCTGAAATATCACCCAAAAATAAAACACACCTTTTATAAATAAAACCTTTTTCTTACAAAAAAGTATTAAAAAGTAACAAACAAAAAATTTAAACTATTTTTTTAACTACATAACTACAAATATATTATTTCTTTCCCAGAAAATTTGAGGAAAGATTAATTGGGTTCAATGCCACAAGAAAAAAATATTTACATTTATCATTAATCATATTACTGTATAAACAAACAAACAAATAATTAATAATAATTATTAATAATAGAATTAATAATAAATAATTTTAAAAAGTAAATTTAAATGAATTTGATTTATTTCCCAGCAGATAAGAGGAAAGATTAATTGGGTTCAATGCCACAAGATAAAGCTTGCGATTAATAACAATACATGATTTAAATCTATTGTTATCATCTGAGGGCAGTAAAGCTGCTCTCACACACACACACTCACTCACTCACACAGAAATGAACATTTTTCATTTTCACCATAGAATTAAAAAAAAAAAGGTATTTGCAACTCTTTATCTCACAATTCTGACTTTTTGAGTTTCTATTTTTTTTCTCAGAATTGCAAGAAAAATGTCAGAATTGTGAGATATTACCTTTTTAAAAATTTTTTTATTGCAATTACCTTTTATTTATGTTTTATTCCATGGCAGAAAAAAAAGAAAAGAAATGAAATTGCAAGAAAATAGCCAGAATTCTGAGTTTATATCTTGTAATTCAGAGTTTATAGTCAGAGTTGTGAGAAACAAAGTCCGAATTGATATAAATAAAAAGCTTTAAATATATTTTAATAATAAAATAGAAAGCATAAACCTTTTTGACCAGCTAAAACAGCACAGAGCAGCTAAACTGGTTCAGATGGTGACCAGCTTGCATCCTAACAATGATTATCAGTACGTTCTGGTCATTGTGTCTCAAACAACCTGTTACCAAGACAACAGACAATCAGCCGTCTCAAACAACCTGTTACCAAGACAACAGACAATCAGCTGCTACAATCACAACTCAGAAATCACAGTCGTTTCCTGAGACGTTTCACTGATTTACTATTTTGGTCAACATTTTGAATTAGATTTTATTTTTATATTTTCATTTTAAAATTGTAATATTGTTTTACTTTTTTGTGTGTTTTTGTCATTTTTTTAAATATGTCTATATAGTTTTTATTAAGTTTTAGTTTATTTAGTTTAGTTATTTTAGTTTAGTTAAAACAAAAATGGGAAATGTTGCTTTGGCACCAGCAGAAATTAAATAAGTTAATATATATATATATATATATATATATTGTTTTTTTTTTAGTTAAAGTTTATTTTATTTCAAGAAATGAAAATTTTTCATTTTCACCATAGAATTAAAAAAAAAAAGGTATTTGCAACTCTTTATCTCACAATTCTGACTTTTTGAGTTTCTATTTTTTTTCTCAGAATTGCAAGAAAAATGTCAGAATTGTGAGATATTACCTTTTTAAAATTTTTTTTATTGCAATTACCTTTTATTTATGTTTTATTCCATGGCAGAAAAAAAAGAAAAGAAATGAAATTGCAAGAAAATAGCCAGAATTCTGAGTTTATATCTTGTAATTCAGAGTTTATAGTCAGAGTTGTGAGAAACAAAGTCCGAATTGATATAAATAAAAAGCTTTAAATATATTTTAATAATAAAATAGAAAGCATAAACCTTTTTGACCAGCTAAAACAGCACAGAGCAGCTAAACTGGTTCAGATGGTGACCAGCTTGCATCCTAACAATGATTATCAGTACGTTCTGGTCATTTTATGCTGGTTTTAACTGGTTCAAACCGGTCTAAGCGGTTTCTTCAGAGGAGAATTAATTTGTTTTGTTTCCAGAAGAGGTTAAAAGAGTCTCACGTGTGATGATGATACAGAAAACAGAGAAAATACTGTAACACAACAAATAAGTGCTAATAAGAACACAACCCGGCGAACAAAAATATGTTCTAAGAACGTTTTGCTAACGTTCCCATTTAGTTATGAAAATTTTATGAATGTTCTCTAAACGTTTAAATATTTCAGAAACGTTTTTTTCTTGGTTATTCAAACATTAACGGAACATTCCATTTGATCATTTTGCAAACATTATGGGAACGTTACTTTTGAATGTTCTCTGAAACAATCAGTAACATTTTTAAAAATGTTAGACGAAAGTCCAACTACAATGTTTCAGATAAAAAAGTTCCATGAATGAATTTTGTGCTAATGTTTTGAGAACATTATTATAGACCAAAAACTATTATAGAGACAAACATTCTATTAAAGTTACTGGAAGAACGTTTGTTCGTAACATTGAGAGAACGTTGCCTGTTTGCTGGGACGAGACATAATCCAGACTTACATATCGACATGTTTTAAAGGAACATGCGCTGCTTTATAATGATCTACTAGACGTCCAGCCTGGTTTTTTGAGTGAGGGATGTTCCTGATTTTCCAGACGTGACGGATTGTGATCCACTCATCCAGTGGATCCCGTCTAATCACTGAAGCTCTGCTGGTTGTCTAGGAAACTTTCATGCTTTTTAGACTCTAGGAAGGGCACGACTGAGTGACCTATATCTCACACACTGACTGAGGAAGATCAGCACGGCGTGAGTCTGAGGAGAATCTGATGCTCATCAGGAGTTCAGCACTGAAAACATCTGCAGCCGAAGTAACAGCTTTATATGTGAGAAATGGTGTTTGTGAGAGGCAGGAGGATGCTGCAGTTTTTGTCTGTGAAAACAGCCGTTATGCTGAAGATGCATCATAAAATGCTGCAAACGAAGAGGAAGATTATCATTACTGGACTGGAGGAAAAACCCAAAGAACACTGAATGTCCTTCATCAGATCTCTTCTCTTCACTAATGTCACTTTTCTTCACCGTTTTCAGGTGTAAAGTGTTTGTACATGTTTTTGTTTGTGGAAAAAATGTAGCATTGCATCAGTGTCTCACTGCAAGTGAATGGGTGCCGTCAGAATGAGAGTCCAAACAGCTGATAAAAACATCACAATAATCCACAAGTAATCCACAGCACTCCAGTCCATCAGTTAACATCTGGAGAAGACAAAAGCTGAAACTAATCCAGCATTAATATGTTTTTAACTAAAATACGAGTCTATAATCCATAATAACTCTTCCTCCAGTGAAAAAGCTCATCTGCTGTTGTCTCTCACATTAAAATCCAGGCACATATGTGTTTAGAGCTGTTTAAACGCTGCTTGATCTGTGCAGATTTCTCTCCTGATTCACACCAGAACACTTTTTCACTGGAGGAAGCGTTATTAT